TGTAACTAGAAAGGCCATATTTGCTTTGGAGCAAATACAGCGATGGGTTCACCACATTTTACGACATGGCAGGGAAAGAATGAGAAACACAAGGGAAAACAATGATTTACATTGATATAACTATAATATGAAGTAACATACAACTAAAACAACAGTTGGATAGCTATTCCCTACTTTATTGGTTAGGATTTTTAATTGCATAATGCAAACTGTTGATTTTCAAAATAAATAAAAAACGTTCTTGCCCCGCATTCCAATGCTGGAGCAGGAAAGCTTGAAATACCTACCAAAACACTTGAATACAGACATACTGTCAGTATGGAAATGCTTCTGTGCAGGTGTTAATCAAGTTAAATCCCAACAGCCAATCAGCAAGAAATGCTCTGTGCAGGTGGAAATGCTCTGTGCAGGTGTTAATCAAGTTAAATCCCAACAGCCAATCAGCAAGAAGTATAGAGGAAAGCTGCATGCCTATTGGTTGATGCCCTGCATTCCATTGTGATGATTCATGCCCAGACGTGGTTAACACGGCACACTAACACAGTAATACATTTGCTATAACACAGCCAAAAAACTCAAATAAAACCATTCTAAAAGCTTGTATCACAAAAATTTAAAAAACGCCTAGGGGTATTTGCCCACTGTACCTCCATACCAAATTTCAGGACCTTAGGCCCTAAAATGAAGAAGCTGAATCCATTTAAAAAATGGCAGGAGGAGAAGAAGAAGAAGAAACATCAGAAAAAGCAATATGGGTTCACCACCACTTCGTGGTGTGGTGAACCCATAAAAAGATAACATGTTTCCGTAGATTTCACTGTTCCTATAGACCAAATCAAACTACCTTTATTTTTTTCAGAACTAGCTTCAAAGCAAATCAGGGTCAACTCTGTCAAGTAAGTTTGTTGTTTCTTCAATATCTAACATTCTTCACTGTTTTTTTTTTAATATAAATTTTTAAACAAACAAAAATCCAATTGAAACCTCTTCTTGTAGAGTAGATCGTCATACCTTTTGACTACTTGTGACTGATATTCTATCATTTCTGACCGCCCACAGCCCTGGCACGGTCCCAACAGGCATTTACAAACACGCAGGATGGACTGAAGAGGAAACTGTCGAGGTATAAAAACTTTATGTGGGGATTCCTTGAAAGGAGAAAAAATGAATGAACGAATGAATAAAAATAAATCAAAGGGGCATTATGTACTTTTTTTTAATTTATAACATTTTCAACAAAAGTCGAGAAAAAATTCTTTAAAAAAGAGTAACTGTAATTTACTTCCTTTTTTAAACATATTTGTGAAATTATCTCATATTTCTGACAAATATGGTTGGCACTAAAGTAGCACACACGAGGGGCACCCAGTTTCTGGTGCCAATTTACAAGAATGTAGACAAATATGGCTGACACAGGTCTCTCGTAAGTTCATAATTTGCAATTGATTATGGTTGAGTCTACTTACTTCATAAAGGATTGACAAAAACTTAAAGATTTCATAAAACATACCTTTTGCATATGTTTTGATGTAAAAATGCATCACTTTTTTCCTTCATTAGTTCCTGGAACATTCCAAGACTGCACATGCCCTGGAGAGGGTTGGCGAGGTTTCCGAAGTTGCGAAGACCATCGCCTTCCTGGCCTCTTCTGACGCCTCCTTCATAACCGGCGCCCAGGTCTCCGTGGACGGGGGAAGGCACGTGATGTGTCCTCGTTAACGACCAGATCTAAACCCTTACTCATGATGTATACATTTTCGAACTTAACCTTCGCTTCCACAACTGCTACTTACCTACCAAATATCATTCAGATCCATCCACATCTTCTTGAGTATAAATAGCAACAAAAAAAAGCAAATGTACATTTTTCATTTCATTTTACTCAAAATTCATCTCGACTATGGAGCTGAAGAGAGCCTGGTAGTATTGAGCCCAGCTAGTCAGTATTGATGATTTGTCAGTAAGGAGCGTCTGACCATCAGCAGAACGTAGTGGACTCTGGACGTGACGCGATGGACCGTACACTGCCTTCAGAGCTTCATAGAAACCCCTGTAGTCCCCCCATGTCTGCACAGAGTTGTAGCTCGCTTTTCAGCCAGTAGGTCTTGAATTTCCACATTGTTGTCATCAAACCAGTCTTTGTTCTTCTTTGAACAGAACTCAAGGACTTTCTTTAAGGTGTTCAGAATAACATTTTTCAAATGGTCCCAAAGCTCTTCTGGGGTGGGTGACTGGTTGCCTCGAGGCTTGATAGTAGGTTTGTCTCGAAGCTAGCTTTTATTGTGGCAGATTTGAGGCTGTTGGTGTGAAGTCTCTTTCGTGGTTAGCCCTTTTTCTTCGGTAGTGGCTTAAACTATAGGTTAAGCTTACAACGCACAAGGCGGTGGTCAGTCATGCATTCCGCACTACGTAGGCATTACCTTGTGTGGAGAACGTCTTGCAGGTCACGTTGGCGTACGAGGATGTAGTCAATGAGATGCCAGTGTCGAGACCTGGGATGCATCCAGATAGTTCTGTGTCTGTCTTTTTGCTGGAATATGGTGTTTGTTATGACAATTTTTTGCTCTGAGCAGAGCTCCAACAACAAACGACCATTGTCATTGCAGTTTCCAATACCATGTTTCCCGATTACCCCTTTCCAGACTTCAAAGTCGCGGCCAACCCTTGCATTAAAGTCACCTAGGAGAAAAACTTTGTCATTTTCTGGGGTACTCTGTATGAGATGCCGCAGGTCGGTGTAGAACTTATCCTTTTCTGAAGGGTCTGCAAGAAGGGTTGGAGCATATACACTGGAGTGTGGCCTGCTGCTTGTTCAGGAGTGGTAGGCGCATAGACATAATGCGGTCAGAATGTTCTGTCACCTCCAAGCTTCATCAAAACTGCAATAGTTGGTGTTTTTCTTCGTATTCCTGTGTGTGTGTGTGTGTGTATGTGTGTGTGCATGTGTGTGTGTGTGTGTGTGTGTGTGTGTGTGTGTGTGTGTGTGTGTGTGTGTGTGCATGTGTGTGTGTGTGTGTGTGTGTGTGTGTGAAAGAAAGAGAGAGTAGAAGAGGGAGGGAGAGAGAGAGAGGGAGAAAATAGGGGGAGCTATACCTACCCAAATATTTCAAATTGAACTTCAGGCCCTGAATACTTTACCAGCAAATTATACGGCTACGCAAATTAAACGGCTATTTCTCAGAAAAACACCCCCTACCGGAACACTTGGATTAGTCCTTTTGGCGTAAATTAGTCAGCCGAGGATATTCCACTATCTGAAGAGGGTGCGAAACTCCCCAAGATGGAAAACGTTCTGATTTCACAAACCCATTTAATATATAAAGTCTGTCCTACCATCACCACCTCCACAACTACGGAGTATTCACGAACCATCTACCCATGTAAGCCTATTGGATGTTTGTAACATTCAGGAGTGCCAGAGTATACAGTGCAATTTTGCAGAATACAGTGCAATTTTACGGAATACAGTGCATTTTTATTAGTATACAGTGTAAGGCCATGTTGATTTGATTATATGGATGGCATCCTCTGGGAACAGCAAAACTGATGCGCGCGTGCGAATAAAAAAAAGTTTTGCAAAAAAAAGTTGCTTTCACTATGAAATCTACGTGGTCAAGAAGGTGGAAAAAATGGCACAGAATATGTTATGGCGAATAATCTACTCTTCAAATTCATTTCTTTACATTTTTGTCTTTTTTTCCTTTGATTTTGGCATTCTACGACATTGGTATGTTTCTTAATGTTTTCCTTGCAACTTATGGTATATTTTTGCTCATTTCGCAACTGTTTTGCACGATTTACAGTATGGTTGAAAACGTTTTTTTTGGAAACGGCCTAAAATTCATGCGCGCGCGGATGTCATCCATATAATCAAATCAACATGGCCTAATTTAACAGAATACATGTACAGTCCAATTGCACCCCTGATCTTGTGTTCCCTGGAGGTGTGCCAACTGTTGCGGCCCGGTTCTATTGTCTATGATCAGCCATTCGTAAGGACCTTAAATGTGGTGACCTTTACGGCATGCAACACAGGAACTGACTCAGCACTGTGCTAACCTGTTCCACTGTGAGTACAGTATCTGTTCACAAAAATGCTTCTTGCGTTTTAGAGATCTTTTGTAGACTCGTTTGGGATCTAAGTTAGGCTGGTACTCAGTGAAATAGTACTTTATACCAAACCAGAGACGTGGTAACAGTTGTCGGACTAACGACAAATCATGGCTTTTTTAGGACACTATAACGTCACCCCCTCCCACGACACGAAGAAAGCGAAAATAAAGTCAACAGGTGAGAGCCGGTATTCTCAGTCCTACTGCCATACCTGTCTTTCGTTGGTCTGCCAGGTAATCCTGTCTCGTTGGTAGGTAAACTTATATTCTCCACCCAATGACAGTCTTATCTTAACAAAAAGGCTATTATAGCACTTCCTCATAAATTATGCAAATGAGGTAATGATTTGAATAAATTATGTTTATTGATGTTCGCCTTCACTTAACTTCCAAATGTGGCAAGTATGAAATTCCCAGCAGTTACAACTATGAAATTATAAAAAATTCCCATTAATTATGCAAATTAGGGCTTAATTTACATAATCTATATCCTCAGATGTTTTTTTTTCATTCTCAATTACATGTCATAAGTGTTTCATAGCCCTATTATCGAACAAAGCAGATTTATAGAATTTCCTCATTAATTATGCAAATTAGCTCCTGATTTGCATAATTGTCATTTGATTATGTTAAGCATCCCTTCAGCTACCTACATACCAAAAATCACGACAATCCGTCAACCGGTTCTTCAGTTATCATCCTTCAAAAAATTTTCAACAAATGGCCCTGCAGTTCCAGAACAAGCCGCTAGGGGACCCAAACTCATGTCACTTCTTCCCTACTTCAAGAGCTACCTACCAACTACAATTCGTGACCCTAGCATGTCCAGGTCGCGAGATATCAAAACCGGAAGTTCTGCTGCAGTACTAACAAAAGCTGCCAGGGGGCCCAAAATCTAATCATTTCTAGGTCACATTAAGACCTACCCACCTACCAAGTTTCATGACAATGCATGTTTATATATTACTAAGCTTCTTGAGTTATGCTGTTCACAAAACAAACAGACAAACGCTACTGAAAACATACCTTCTTGGCGAAGGTAGTAAAGGGTAGTTGGCTGGCCATAGAGGGCAGACAAGCAGTGTGCAGGCAAGCTGGACCCTCTATGGCCAGCCAACTCCCCTTTAGCAGATTTCTACTTCTATTCATCCTGCAAAAGAGTCTAGTGGAGACTAAAGTAAACTATGACTTACTTTTTTTTCCTTGTTTCTGTAATGGATACGTCTGTACAGTATGAAAATCCCTTCTGTGTGAGTTCAGGCATTACATTGCACTCACAGACTAGACTTCACAAATGAGCTATTCTGTTTCACGGTGCTTCTAGCTTACAACTTCCCCTTTAGATACACGACAGTTCCAGCGTTGTAAACAGTCGCGTTGACATTCGCACGACTGTTCATCATAATTATCGTCAGTCCCATCCCAAATTCTTGTTGTCTGTAAATTTGCCTGTCGAATTTGGCCGCATTACGATTCGATCCTGGGGACTGTATAAAACCAAACTCCTCAGTTCTATACTTGAAACGGGCATCTACGAACTCTGACTTCGTTGTAAGAACCATCAGTCACTTCCACAAAGCCCCGTTATGTATAAGGCCATGTTGATTTGATTATATGGATAACATCCGCGCGCGCATGAATTTTCGGCCGTTTCCAAAAAAAAAGTTTTCAAACATACTGTAAATCGTACAAAACAGTTGCAAAATGAGCAAAAATATACCATAAGTTACCAAAAAAAATTAATAAAAACTATACCAATGTCGTAGAATGCCAAAATCAAACGAAAAAAGACGAAATTGTAAAGAAATGAACTTGAAGACTAGATTATTCGACAAACCATATTCTGTGCCATTTGCTCAACCCTCATGACCACGTAGATTTCATAATGAAAAGAACTTTTTTTTTTTCAAAACTTTTTTTCATTCGCACGCGCGCATCAGTTTTGGGGCTCCCGGAGGATGTCATCCATATAATGAAATCAACATGGCCCAATGGTAGAACAAAACAAGAAGAATTACTACATTAATACCTACAAGGTCTCTTCTTTTTTTGAAACATGGATGAATAGATTTACATAGTTTTTCAATGTATGTGGCCGGAATAAGTATGTTCTTTTTCTAGCAGCAGTACTCAGCGGTATGGCAACCGTGCCGCCTCCGCCGTACCACGGGGCTGTGAACTACCAGGGACAACCCTCAGGGCCTCCCCTACAGAATTACGGCTATCCAATCCAACAAGCCTACGCACATCAGGGTCCGGGGCAACCCTCAGGGCCTCCCCTACAGAATTACGGCTATCCAATCCAACAAGCCTACGCACATCAGGGTCCAAACGCAGTCGGTTTTGGACAGGTTCCATACCCTGTCAATCCTCCTCCTGTCACCACCCAACCTGTCGTCACTCCTTACGGTAGTAGTTTTTTTTTTTTCATATCTTTGTTTCCTTAAATTCCTATAACCTCCTTGTTCCTAGTACTTATTTCAATCGTAGACAGCCTTCTATAAGTTTTTCCGTCACTTCTTCTGGTTTACTCTTCTTGCGTTATCTGTAGATATTCGGTAGCTAAATATATCTGTATATCCAAAACGATGGACACCAACGTGGCGTCGCACACGATGATGACATCTTGAGAAAATGTCAATTCATCTTGTAATTATTGCATATATCGCCAGGTGTCGTCGTAGAGGAGCGTGCGGCGCCCCCTGTGGCCGTACAAGGTACTGCAGCAACGCCTCCACATGATGGTAAAAAGAAACGACGCAGGCATGGCCGCACAAGTGACTGGTGTGGCTGGTGCTACTGTGGTCCCGGATGTGACTGTGACTGTTGTGACTGTGACTGCGGTGACTGTGACTGCGGGGACTGTGGTTTATTGGGATGCTTATGTTGTATTTGCGATTAGGCCACACCAAGTAAATTTTATGGATGACGTCCTTTGGAGACCCTAAATCTAATGCGAGAGGGCGAAAAAAAAAACAAGATGCCTAGATTGGAAATATACTAAGAGACGACAAATGTGACACAGTGTAACAAGCAAGAGGTATTTTATTCATCATCAAAACAGCAATAAATTAGGTGGAACAGCAGTTGTCATCCTGTCCTGTTTCTTTCATCACATTTTCGTGCTCTTTACCCATTTCGCGTTACCGGTTTCACGTCAATCTGACGATTTGCTGCACTGTCGTGACTCTTTGGTCATAGTTACAGGAAGCGGAATTTCTTGGTTTTTTTTTTTTTCTAGGAACAGGCCAAAATCAATGCGATTAAAATCAATGCCATAAAATTTACTTGGTGTATTAACAAAAGACAGATTGTCGTAGGAATGTGCAGGAGAGCCCGGAACCTAAATTCAGCCCACTTTTTGTCAAAGTAGGAACAATCTATAATAAACCCTATGTACTCATTTAATCCTGGTCATAACATTAACTCTAATGTACACGCTTTATGTTCCTTAATTTTCTTTGATACGTCGTATCTTATTTACAGAAAGCGCTCATGTGGACGTTTTAGTTCACTTGCATTGTATTTTGCTCTATGGGGACTGCGACTGTGACGATTGTGGCTTATTGGAATGTTTATGTTCTATTTGCTCTTTAAAAAGTCAGATTGTTGTAAATTTTGTAGGAATCAGTGTCGGAGAACCGAGAAACTTACAGGTTTATTGAAGGCGTCCCCATAAATAACAGTTGATGTTTTAATAGATTTTGGTCGGATTACATGTTTTACATGCACTGTACTTAAGGATGAAAACAACTAATCAATGTAGGTGCAGATGGATATATTGTTAACTTAACGTACTAACTAACTAATTACGTCAGTGAAGGTTAGATTTTAGAACGTTAGGTTTAATTTTGGGGTAACTAAGTAACTACTAAATGAAGTAATGCAATCAAATAAGATATCAAATTTAACAAAATGTACTCCACACTGTAAGAGATATGGATTCTGCCTACTTGTGGCATAGCGGCAGAGTGCTCGACTCGGAACCAAGAGGTCCCGGGTTGGAGTCCTGACATGCCACCGATCTTGTGCCCTTGGAAAAGGTACTTTACACGACTTTCCCGTGTATTGTCTTGTCCTGTATTCGTCCTCTGCGTTGGTGGCGGAATAAAATAAGTTGATATACTGTAACTTGAGTGTGCTGTCACCGTGTCTAGTCATGAAATGTTGCTGAAAACTCAAACTCATACACGGCGAAGGTATGAGGTCATCGACCTCTTTTTACAAATGGATATACTATTCCTTTTCGTCCTTGTCACAATAGATGAGTTACATGCTGATGGACAGAATAGAATAGAGAGAGAGAGAGAGAGTATAGAATAAAACTTTAAGTCCTACCAGCAAAATAAGAAGGGCTGGCACACGTCTTTTTTTCAAACAACAAAACAGTCTTTTATGTATCTAAATTTTTTGGCATTGTGCACGTTATTGCATTCAGAGATATATTCGAATCTGTCTGTAACGTCGAGTATCCTGCAATCTGTTGGACTTGATTCGTGAATAGCTTGTTGTTGTACGTAAATCATACTATGTGTAAACGAGGAGGTTATCTCCCCCTATAACCTCCTTGGTGGCAAGCCCTTTATTACCTCCATGAAAAATGGAGGTATTGTTTTTTGGCGTGTCTGTCTGTATGTATGTATGTATGTATGTATGTATGTGTGTGTGTCTGTGTGTCTGTCTGTCTGTCTGTGTTTCCGCAACTTTGTGGTCAGCATAACTTCAGAACGCCTTTATGGATTATGATGATATTTGGTATGTTGGTTAGTCTTAGGAAGACAAACGTCAAGGTCAAATATGGGCCTCCTGGTGGATGACCTTGGTACTGCAGCAGAACTTCCGGTTTTTGTATCTTTTGTCCTGAACATGCTATGGTCTTGATGTTTTGGTGACAGATTGCTTTTCCTGTCAGGAATAAGTGGTGTGAGTTTGTTCCCCCTAGCAGCTTGTTTTGGAACTGCAGGGCACTTTCTGGCGAAATGTTTAAAAGCCAATAAGTCCAGATAGGAACAACATATTTTCATAATTTTTGGTGTGTAGGTAGCTAAGAGAGAGATGTACATGATTAAATGCAAATTATGCAAATGAGGACTTTATTTGCATAATTAATGAGGAAATTCTATGATTACAGTGTTTTACATTATACTACTTTCATACATGTAATGTATGTAACCTATGGCAGGCAGAACATCAACAGATACTAATTATGCAAATGATGACCTAATTTGCATAATTTATGCAAAAATTCTATGATTTCTTAATGGTGAATAATGGGAATGTCATACTTTGGACATCTGTAAGTTCATCAAAAGTTAACATACATCACGATGCATATTATATATCATGTTAATGCGGAGGTAATTTGCATAATTAAAGAGGAAATTTACATTTACATATCAAGCCCATATTTCATGGAGGTATGAAATCTCGGAATTCTTGTTCTATGCATGTTTTGCAGTATGTTGTCCTGAAGGTTACAATGAGCGGTATGGGCTGTGCTACAAGGCGCGCGTTCAATGACAAAGCAAACTTCAACGTGTCGGCCCAGCGTTGTAGTGAAGATGGCGGCACACTCGCCATGCCTCGAGACAATTCCAAACCTCTGTCACATAGTCGAAATACAGGGGAAACACAGGGGAAACACTCTGGACAGAAGAGGGTATGTTTCCTCTGTGTGTCCTCTCCTCTTTCCCTCTTCAGAGGGTCCCTAATGTTTGTTTTAGAGGAGGTATAGTGGAAGGTTTTCCAATGTGTTTCCTTCTCGCCAATTAGAGACACAAGTCACATGATACAGACTATCCTTTTTGTCCCTTACTGTGTGTTCTAAGGAACTAGAAGGACCATTTCTCTTTCAAGGCAATGCATACCCATTCAGATACAGGTTTAGAAACTCATGAGTCATGAACACTGGTGATAGAACACAGTTACAAATGTACTTGATTTATAAATGATGAATAGAAATTCTGCCCCTTGTATTCCTTGTATAGGTATATATAACTACAGGCAAAAATTTGGAACACTGAAGACATTGTTTCATTCCGTATATATATGTAGGCGAGGGGCTGGAGTCTGTCTGATATTGCAACACAATTTCTGAGAAATGCTGCTGGGCTCTGCTCCTAGGAGTGATTAACTTAAACCAAGACACACAGAGGAAACACACTGGAAACACAGTCTCTAATTGGCGAGAAGGAAACACAATGGAAATGATATTCTGCTCCAGTCAGAATCCTGTGACAGCTCCTTGTGTTTCTATGGGCGGAGAAGTTGGTCACGGATTATCTATATGTTTCCAGTGTGTTTCCTGTGTGTTTCCTTCAGTCCAACAGTGGAAACATAGGGGAAACACATTCTAGTATGTTTCCACTGTACGACATAGGTTTGCAAGGGATAAAATAAGCAACAAACAACTTCCTCGTCTCAATCAAGAACGCCATCAACGAAAATTCTGGCTTTGAGTAGAAGCTAACTTGAATGGATCGATGGCACTGCTCTTGAACATCACTTTTTCAGAGCTTCGTCGATTGGGCTTGGGATCAACCAGACAACAAACGTGGCGAGGACTGTGTTCACTACTTTCACTCTACCTCCTCCCTCCTTCCGTGGTGGAAAAACACGTGGAATGACGTGAACTGCGACGTACCTTATCACTACATATGCCAAGTGGCCCAAGCATGGGGCCAACACTCTTGCAAATAACCAACCTACCAGATCAGCTTGACTCAAATGTGATGTTTTTAGCCAACAATACAACATCAAATGTAAATAGCTACCAATTTTATGGTCAGACGTAAGCAACAACTGAACCCCCACTTGTATCTGGGCATTGCATTTGTCAGTGAGTACTCGAAGTAGGGCACACATAATATGTTCATGGTCCCACACTCATGTTGTTTATTCACCCACGACATTGCCTACAGCAAAATAAGGCATTGCATTTGGTACATATGTACTAACATATATAAGAATATCCATAAATAATGCATCATACATAATGTGCATGTAGCATTAGAAGCAACAGTTTTCACTTCTGCAAAGTCATGTTTGTAAGTTTATGATATTGTTGACAGCAGTGCATCTATCAATAGCAAAGATGAAGAAAATTTTTGTTTGTTTGTTTGTTTGTTTGCTTCTCACAGCCAGTAAACCATACACCAGGTCGTAAGTCATTTGTGCACCAGTTTTGTATAAGTATAAGTACAAGCTGTGTTAGACCTGAGTGTAAGGTTTGAACCACTGACACCAGGATGGACCCCTACTGTCTTTGATAAATGTGCTGGGATCTTTAAAGTGCTCAAGGTGTGGCTCTCCTCACACACAGGACATTCTCTTTACATCCCATCTGAGAGGATGTCCCTACGTTAAGTGAGCAAATAGAAATATGGCCACAACAAGTATATTTTATGGATGACATCCTCCGCAGACTCAAAATGCGATTGGGCCAAAAAAACAACAAGGTTCCAAAATTTTTAATTTTTGACTCAATCATTGTACAAATGGTTTTGACTCAGAGGGTACATCACATATACAACCACCATCACATATCACATCATCAAAGTAAAAAAAAAAACAACAACATTAAATCAGAGCCTTTTCTAGTTTCCTCTCTTCATATAAGGTATCTGCTATCCACCTTCCGGCGTGGCAACAGACATCTTTGCCCATTTTCGGCATGTTGACCACTGTCAGAAGGCAACAAATTTTCTTGTTTTTTCCAAAATCAGGCAAAAATTAATGTGCACGCTGATGTCATCCATAAAAATGACTTGCTGTGGCCTATTATAGGAGTTACAAAGGTCACAACATGAAGGTGTGCTAAGGATTCAAATGCAGAATACGGTAGGGTTTGAACCCAAAACAGGGCTCGAAATTCATTCCTGGTGCACTGGGACACCTATTTGTAAAAATTTTAGGCTCGTAAAAAACTTTCGCCTGCAAAACACTTGTGTTCTCTACATGTAGTTGCAAACATCAAAATAGTAATATATCATTAGATCTTTTCTCAATACGCTGTAAGCTAGTGTACAATCATATGATCATAGTATCTTAAATATAAACCTACATATTAAATATCTTGGTGCACCAGCACACCCCCAGTCAGAACACAGAGCACAGCACCAATTTTGGGTGCATATGCAACCAGTATTTTGAGCCCTGTTAAACCATTCCATTCTAGTGAACAACCCTATACAGCCACTTGTAAGATTGCCTAAAAACTTTGTAATCTTGCATTTTTATATAAAATAACGATTTCTTTGAGCCAGGCGAGCTGTACCAAAATATTGCTATATCTGCAGCTCTCTATTTTTGGACCCTTTCATTATAGACTGTAGGGGGGTCTCATTTAACTGTCCACACGGCAATCTCCTTCACTAGCATCCACACCTGCTGGTCCCTGTTTACTGTCACCTTCAGACACTTCACCTCAAATGACCCCAGTCCCTCCCTGCTTCTTGTCATCACCTCAACCCTCCCGTTCTCGAACTCGCCAAGTTTCACGTACTCCGCGCAGTACGGCGTGTTATCCAGCTCGTTGACAGACACGAGGCGCGGGCTCGCTTCCAGCGTTCCGTTCTCCAGAACGTCCGTGGAATGTTCTACAGAACCGGTCTCTACGACGATCCTAGCGAGCCTGGCGGGATCCTCGAAGAGAACGAAGAACGCCTGTCCGGCCAGCGGACTCTTGGCCCAGAGGTATCCGGGCTCGGCGCTGTACGCAAGCTGCGGCTTGAACTGTCTGAAAACGGGAATATTCGTGCTCACCGCAGCCGACGGGTTGTCAGAGTCGTTATACCTCCTCTTCAAACTATCCACAAAGAAGGAGTCGACCAGGTTCTGCTGTTTCCCTGACAGAGACGAGTGTTTCCCGATGTGCTGGAACAGCGAAGGCAGGTGGAGGAACGACTTCTGATGCGGCAGCAGCTGTATGAAGTAGCGTATCAGATAGTCCACTGGCATTTCCTGGTAGAACAGCATGATAAAGTCTGCAAGTCGTTGTAAATCGGACGACTTGAACAACTTCCCGATGAAACCAAGCTCCGAAAACTCCAGCATAGTCCAAGCAGATGTCTGTGAGTTGACAAAGTCTCTGATTGCCTTCAGGTATTTTTCCGCTGATATTACGTCATCTTCTAGCTGAAGATAGAACTCTGATAAATCGCGACAGTAGCTAAACAGGAAGGCGAAATCGACGCACTGCTTTGACCTCCATTTTACCCTCTCTTGTGTGTCGTTAAAGTTTTGTTTCAATCCCTCCAGTTGTGGGTAGAAAGACTTGTGCGCCTGAACAACTTGTATAAAGCCATTGCTTAGATACCTGGAATAGTTCTGCTGAATTTCCAGTGAAAGTCTCCTGTTGTAGTCTCTGTCCAAGTCTGCCAGGAAGATAACGATAGTGACTTGTCCTCGATCACTCTCTGGGGTGTGCTCTATTAATGAGTTCAGGGTGACGTCCAGATAGTTTGTGTTATTCTCTCTCTTTACTGTCGGAATGCCGATTGAGAGAAATCCTGAAAGGGGTAAAATAATACATTCCACGTCAATACCTTTGGGAAACATCTGTATCTGTATAGCCAGTATAATCGCCTTTTTGGCATAACACACACAACATGACATATTGTATTTTTACGTAGCACACCAGATTTAAAGTGATATTATGTAAGATATTTGGCGCCAAAACCGTAAATACAAGATAATAGATAATATGCAGTTTGCAAGAAATCTGCAAGGTGCATCTCCTCTTTGCTTACTTTTACTAAGAATATATAATATATAATATATATAATGCACCTAACATTGCACCTCTGACTCCAACACTGCCATTACACACAAGCATCAGGTTAGGTGAAAACTTTGGAGCACATTGTAAATGTTTCTTTATTTCTTATCAGAGCTTCTTTATATATATATCCATCAGAGTACTTAGTCTTCTAGATAGTCTACAGTTTACCTTTGGTCATGCGTGGTTTCCCCCAAACTCTGGCTGCTTCTATATCAACAACAGCTGGTCTGCTACAGCCCTCACTGCTGCCTCTACTGGACCTCTCCTGCAAGAACAACAAGTAAAATCTGAGTTTTTATACCTCTGGGCTTTTTATTGTATATCTTTATATGTAATTTGTTATATATAGTTGATGGTGTTGAATTTTTATGTGTTAGAGAAGATGCATGTGCACAACAACAATTGTTGTGTGCCGCAAGACTAGGCCTAGGGATTTAAACAAAAAATGTATCCAGACCGGACACCCCTCTTTCCGAGGGGTCATATACGTGGACCAGGCCGAGAATATCTTAAACACGCCAAAGGTTGACGGTCGCGACCATTTTCACGCTCAAAGGGGGTGTTCTGGGGCCACCAAAAAGCACCATTTTCATGCCGAAAACACAATAAAAACAAAAGAAAGTGCATCATCTACAGCCCAATAGCAAAACATATACCGAGTCCCAAAACAATCCGTCCACCCAAACGCGAGAAACAGCTGCGAACATGAAAATCTAAATCTCTCACAAAACCCTTCCGCGGCTTAGGATGTCTCCTCCCCCGGAGGTAAAAAGATAAAAACATTGCTGCATAAAACCTGGTATCTAAACCATTGTATTGTAAAGGATTAAAATTTTTAGTCTACCAAAATAACAGAATCTTTTACATATTATACCTTTCAGATATGCTTATTAGTACTAATAATTATGTAGGATTTGGTGCAGTTTATCATAAAGTACTAGTTACTGTTAATTTAAAGCTTTAAGTTCTTCCCACACCAGGTGGTGCATAGGGTGGCACACATCTCTGGTTCAATAGCCCTTGGACCGCACAGTTGTGCAATCATTATAGCAGGGGGCTAGTTCACTGGTAGTGGTGTGTGCGTTTACCGTTACCATTTCCAAAATGCCAAGCAAAGCAGAGAAATTAAATTAAAGCAGTATGTACTTAGTACCTTTTCTTAAAGACTTAGGTATGACTTTACCGGGATCGAACTCATAAAAAAGGAAGCCAATGACAGGTCTAGATGGTAGGAAAAGTCATGGTCATCTTAACCCTTGCTAATAGTTTAGTTTACTTTGTTTAGGATCTCCATTAGTGTGAATTTCACAATACTCTTCCTGGAGTGAATAATCAATGGATCATCAGAACAACAACATATGGATGATACTGTATGTGCTGTACTAATACCAGCCCAGAAGAGAACAAGAAATGGCCATCTCCGTAAATAATTTCATCAGGTTGGAAGATACTTAGACTATAGAATTTTCTTCTTACACAACCAGTAAGGTTCTCACCTACTTTGGCATTAAATAGCGGCGAGTTGCAGAACTCCAGTCAGAAGCTCTGAGGAAGGTGTCTGATAGACATCGAAATGTAAGCAGGTGAGAACCTTACTGGTTGTGTAAGAAGAAAATTCTATACTCTAAGAAATGGCCATGCCTTCAAGTACCAGAGTTATCAACCAAGCTTAAGGATTGGGGTGTGCAAGAATTCATTCTTTCCTAGAACTATCGCAGAGTGGAACTCGCTGTCACCAAGTATACAGTAGGGGCATTATCATTAAATAGCTTTAAACAATGTCTAGAGTTACAAGTTCAAGGGTTAGGTGTAATATAGCCAGCTGCCGCCGCGCCGCGTGCCTGCGACGCTTATGTGTTACGCCGAAAGCCGGTTATACCAGCTGTACAGATAGAGATAATTAAAGATGTGCAACCCAACAATTGTTAGGCACCGCAGGCCTAGGATGAAAGGATGAAGAGGATAAGTAAGCAAAACAAGAATAAGAAATTGGGCTATGACTCAAAGCAAATCCTCACCATTAAGCCTATGGTGGTAACAAGCATAAGCTAAGCCTGATCTCTTATTGTATAGAATGTTTTATTTGATTTTGTATAAGTTATTTTGTCTCTGCTGCTACCTTTCAGTTATTTAAATGGCTGATCAATTTGTTATATTTATCTTTGGAATTATGATCAGTTGGACATTATGTTCTATTCAGTTATTTAAGTTATTTATACCTTTGTTAATTTTGTGGGCACCTTTGTTGTTTACGTACAACGCTGGATTATGTTCAGATTATTTTGTGTTTTTTTTGGTCGACCTCTGACCTCTCCTATTGATTTTGAACTTACTTTATTATTTTGTAATCATCATTATGTACAAGTTTTGTTATCTATGTTTTATTTTATTGACCCCAGGAAGAATAGTGCTTTTAATGGGGATCGAAATAAACAAACAATTACCTTGGTTGGCGGCACCACAAGTTTGTCTGGGACTTCCTGTCGCAGGAGTCTGTTGTTTAATATCTTCATGGACTGGATCAGGGTTTCCTTCTGTACCTCACACGTCGGGTCCACTTGCTGTGTGAGTAAAGTACCTGCCATGCAACAAAAAATCTTTATCATTAACTAGAGAAGTAACATTTGCAAAGCAAATGCATAATGTTTACCTTCGGACATGGTCTGCCCTGTTCAATAATTTTACTCAAACACATTCACATACATGTACTACTAGTATATGGTGACAGGAGCAGAGCAGACCATGAAGTTTGCAACATTATGTAACCAGTCACCATGGTGACAGACATCAACAAATCATATCATTGGCCAGGTAAGAGGCTAGTGTTTGGAGAAGAAGAAGAGGGAGAGGAAATTGGATAAAAACAATATGTTTTCCTTCGGTAAACATAATGATAATTGTAGCCTCCTTTGCAGGCATTATTACACAACTTCCTGATCAAACGTAGATCACACATGCAGCATCAGCAGCTCTGGAACTTCGTGTGTGTGGAAGGTGGAAGGCATGGTGTACTAGGGTTGGTGGCATACTAGAGCTTCTACATGTGTGTGATCTACATGTACGTTTGATCAGAAAATGGACACTGTGTTACAAATAAGCGCCCTGCCCCCCCCCTTAAAAAGGGGGACCAAGGAGGCATATTGGCATGTCACAAAACTATAGTGACTAAGAAATTCAAAAGGTCTTACACAACAATACATTTAAACAAAGTCTTGGGAAGTGGCTACAAATGGATACTACAAGTTACTATTATATGGATAGATTATATATTGAGTAACATATCATATCTGCTTACGTATATTTTGTAGGCCAATTTCTGTACACTTTATTTTATAAGTGAGATCATATCATCAATACAGGAACATATTGTAAATCATATACTGTATAGATAGTAGTGGTAAGAAATGTAATAAGATAGTTTAGTTTTGTTGTATTGTTGTATTACTGCCACACATTGTACCATGTACGATTGTCAAGCAATAAAGTTCATAAGTTCATATTGTTTAGGCCACACCAAGTAAATTTTATGGATGACGTCCGCGCGCGCGCATTGATTTTGGCCTGTTCCTAGAAACAAAAACAAGAAATTACGCTTCCTGTAACTTACTATGACCAAAGAGTCACGACAGTGCCGCTAATTGTCAGGTTGATGTGAAACCCGTAACGCGAAAACAGGAAAGGACGACAACTGCTGTTCCACCTGATTTATTGCTGTTTTGATGATGAATAAAATACTTCTTGCTTGTTACACTGTGTCACCTCATTCAATTTGTGTCCTAACATTTGTCGTCTCTTAGTATATTTCTAATGTAGGCATCTTGTTTTTTAGGGCCCTTCTTGTTTGTTTTTTCGCCCTCTCGCATTACATTTAGGGTCTCCAAAGAACGTCATCCATAAAATTTACTTGGTGTGGCCTTATGTATACACTACTGGTTCTACTCTCATCTGCCGAATAAACATACGGGTACGTTTATTTTTTTGGGCCCTAACATCCACCCAGTACGTTCTTATTTTGCACAGTACGTTTATTAATTTTTTGAAAACCAGTAATTTTTTTCAACTTCGTGTGAAAAAAATTGACAAATCATCGATGTGAAGACGTTTATAAACGCGTATTGTAGCGAGAAACTTGTCATTTTCGGGCCGGTTTTTGCAATCACCGCGTGCATAAATTCGTCTGAATGTTCTATTGTCATGGGTGGTGCTTATCAAAATACGAAATATTAAATGCCCCTTTTTTTGTCTATTTCAATTCATAATTGCAAATAACAGTTAAAGATTTGTGCATATATCAGTACAAGGCGCATTTTAGTACAAGAGACACAGGTTACCCGTCAATTCTGGTAATTTTCCGGGGGGTACGTTTATTCCGGGGGTATGGTTATTTGATTTTGAAGATTTGTCCGGGGGGTACGTTTATTCCGGGGGGTATGTTTATTCGGCAGATGAGAGTAGCATTCAAACAATCTTTGATGTAAATGCCTATTTGTATCAACATTTCCTTCTTCTGGAAGGTAAATTAAATTCATTTAGAATGAATGAATGAAATTCAATGAATGAACTTTATTGCTTTACAACCGCAACATGGTACAATGTATGACAGTAGGACAACAGATTTAATTTCAATTTAACCCTCAACAGAACACCTTCCCGGACTGATTAATCTGTACACCTGGGGTCCGCGCGGGCCCCAGAACAGTTTTTTGCTAAATTTTATAAATTATCAACATGCTACCAGCTCAATTGTTTTGCAAACTGATGTGGTAACCTCTGTGTCCACATTACATACAAAAATCATACATTTTGAACTTTTTCTATTTTTTGGTGAAGACAAGAAGAAATACCCGATTTTTAAACCCATTTCAGACTTAAGGGGCTTATGAGGCCCAACTTTGATCTCAGATAGCGGCTAAACGGCTTGCGCTAGAAGTATCAAATTTGGAGACCTTTCTTAAAATGTCTCTGGAAAAAAGTTCATATAAGTTTTATACTAGTAAGTTGATGTTTTTTTGTGTTGCCATGGCAACGGGTTTCTAGCAGGCAATTTTTTTAAAAATAGAAGTAATTTTGGTTTAAACATAAAAATTTTCCGGGTTTTTATATTAAATTACACTTCTTTTCAGACATTAATACCATCTTACATAATTAAACATAAGTTAAATCATTTAATATGCATAGAATATGCTAATTTGATGACGTCATTGGTCAAAATCCAATATGGCGGACTATATTATTGGCTCTGACGCCATATGACGTCATAACTACACCAAAGTTATTAAAATTTAATTCTTTTACTACACCTTTCTCTGAAAACTTTGTAGACATACGATGAGTGCATAAAAACATACAAAAACGGAAATAAGGTAATGTATAAGAACGCCAGTGAATCCATTATGATCGAAAGCCGGCTGGGGGTCC